CATTGGATGTGGTGAAGACTCAGTTGCAATGTCAGGTATTGGTTTTTTATTGGAATCTCGAGTTTTGATAATCTTAATAAAAAAAATCAAAATCTTTTTATCCGAATGTTTGTGCTCCATGACCATTTGATCATATGCATCGAAGACCATTAAAGAAGTGAGAGTATATTGATGGAGAGGGGAGGATTAAAAGTAGGTCTTCGAGAACTTGGTTAGGAGCGTTGATATGATAACGAGTAACATAATGTGCATTTGAGAAGATAATCTTTAAACTGAGTGGAAGAGAAGGATTCGTGTAGCCGGGAAAAAAAAGGATAACGGCTTTGTTGTTATTGTTGTTGGTTTGTACTTCATGATTATGATTTTCTACATGATTGTTAATTGAATATCCCTCTATCATATTTAATTTCAGTGATAAATAACTAGAAGCTGATGAATGGTTTTGTTATCTAACATTGGTTTTGACCTAAGTTGCACCGGCATGGGTGCGAGTGCGGGACACGGAAAATTTGTTACGGTGATACGGCTGAAAGTCATGAGATATAATCATAGTTTTGAGTTATATACGTAAACAACCCTTTTAAGTCGTAGCTCCTAAGGCTGAAATGAACTCGACCCTTATCCAACAAGTTACAAAAATGAATGTGAAGTGTAGGATATATGTCCAAGAAGTGTGTGATGAGTATTTAAAATTAAACCCGCATTGTGTAATTGAGTACATGTTTGAATAAATATATGCAAATATGTAAGTTGTGTCCAAGAAGTGACGGGTATGAGTACGGGTACGGGTACGACACGTGCCTGGTACGTGTCAGCTCCATACTAGTACCCAGGTAACGTAGGTTTTGACTAAAGAAGGGATGAAAAGTATATTTGGTTAATTCCACTGTTGTTGATTCATCTACCTTGGGTAGATTATAATAGATCACAAGAAATTGTAAAATCAAATCTGTTTGACCCATAGAATAATTTCACGGGAAAAAGAATTATCTTGATGGCCCTTTACAGGAAATCATATAGAGAGGAAGCATAATGTGATCTGTCCACTAACTTGAAAGTTGATGACTGTACCAATTCATTAGTGAGTTCACACTAATATTTTAACCGTTTGAACTGATTTTTATTGCTTGTGCTGTTTTTTATGCGGATTGCATTGATTTAAAATTGATAGTGGATGCATGACACATTTTCTTTCTTTTGAGATTTTCTATGGAGGCCCTTCTATAGGGTGTTTTTTCATAATGTCGCCAGGAAAAAAGTGCATAAAAGAGTTCATGTAGAGTATTGAACAAAGGATATTGCAATAGCGGTTTTAATATGGCTTACCGCCTCAGACATGTTATACATGAACTTTTGCTTCAGCCATAGAAATTCAACCTTTTGTCTAGAAGATTTATGTACAATGATTAGACTCAAAACATGTTGGTTAACCTCATGTGCACATAAAGATTTAAAACAAATGAAAGCCTCAGTTTTGTCGCATTTGCAATGCAACTTGTCAATTTGTTCAAAGGGTTCTTCATAACTAGTTAATGCCTATCAATTTGGATTGATTTTACTGAAATGGGTCGGAGTTCCTAAGCACAAAGACCATCACAGATTCTGAAGAGGACACTAATAGTCCTTCGAAGCCTAATATCTTGAGTGGTTTTACCATCTTATGGCATTTGTGATTTTAACTATTTTAACTATTTTAACACTTCAAATATCTTGTATAAGTTCAATAAAATGGGCATATAAAAAATCTGAAAAGAATATTCTTCTTGCGCCGAAATAAAATTGGATTAGACCTCAGAAAAATATTCCTTACGCACCAAGGTAGAGTTGAGTTGGACCTCATACTACGTGGATATCATATTATTTCTAGGGACAGGGATAGAGACGACCAGTTTGTAAAAAGATTGGACAGAATTAAATCTCCAACGCATCGCAAGATATCAGATTTTCTGGTCCTCAATAATTTGTGGGTTTTCTTTTTGAGCATAAAATTTTCGTGCTTTTTGGGCTATTTAAATGTTGTTCAGATTCAGTTGGTATTTTATAATTTACACTTCTTTGTACTAGTTTCTTCAGTTTGTGTCTTTCTAAGTCCTTGAACAACTGAGTTTCTATTGAAGACTGAAAATTAACCGTTGACATTCTAAACTTCCTGAACAATTTAAAATGTTTCATACAGTAGAGCCATTAGAGATAACAGGGGCATGGTGAATTGTTCACCAATTGTTTTCCAGATTGGATCTCTAATTTTATCTTCATAATCTGTAATTTGAAACTAAACTTTGAATCATTTCTTTTTGATTGGCTGGCAGGGTGTTTGCGGTTGTGATAGATTTACTAGCACATCGATAAGGGAGGTTATACGAACAATAGTAAACCGAGATGGATATACTGGACTCATGAGAGGATGGAAGCCTAGAATGCTCTTCCATGCGCCAGCTGCTGCCATTTGCTGGTCCACCTACGAAACTTCCAAGTCCTTTTTCCAAGGACTCAAATCTTAGAAAAGGCGACAAGACCACACTAGCGGCGAATCAATACTATTTTCTAATTTACAGATGGCTTTGGGGAGTGGATAAATAGTTATTCTTCTTTAGCTCCCCTGGGGGACCTGCATCTCTATCCAATGATATTGTTAGTGCAAAGTGGTGTTGTGAATTGAATTCCACATTCGCCTGAGATTCATATTTGTATACTTGTTTTAAGATATCAATGGCAATAATTTGGGGTTGATGTTTGGTTTCTTTCTTTTTCCCTTTGACTAATAGTTGAAATGGCATCTAATTATGTTTTCTTGGTTATTAAGATATGCCTTGAAATTATTGTTGTGGCTGACAAATCTGCCCATTACCTTTGTGAGTTAATGGAGAATTTTCTACTGTAACTATCTCTGGCTGTCATCTTAATCTCAAAATGCTGCTTGTGAAACATGACGCATATAGATGGCGGTCAAATGGTTTTGGATGACCCCAAAATTCAAATCGGTTCTTTACCGCCTTCAGGTGTTTACTTGGTGGACGGGTATTGAGCTATTGCTGAGCAGCTGATGACATAAAGAGAGGGATTCAGGTGCCGCTATTTTCAAAGTCCAAGGTGAGCTTTTACAGCAAGAGACGCCTGAAGATTCACAGTAAGAAGAAATAGAATTGATGGTCTTTGCAATACTTTGTCGAGTTCTCACATGTAAATTTCTTTGCAAACCACAGGAGGCTTGTACTTTGCATTGTTGCAATAAAGAGATCAACTCATCATTCTATTTCTAAGAGAGACAACAACTTGCATTTATCATGCCTACGTATTATATAAACCAAAGAGGCACAAATCAAATTTAAGAACATTTCTATACATACTTGACCTTTCTTTAGATTACATGGCTAATGCTGGAAAAATAAGACAAAATAAAAATGTGTTTCCTAAAACACTCTCGAGAAAAGATCTGAATTTATACTCAATGGAGAAACTCTCTATGTGGAGCTTTGTGTGGTAAATATAATACATCATTATGGGTCATTCATCGAAGGGGCGTTAGACTTGATCTATGAATTTTGCTGATAGCAGTGCTTTTATGCTCTTGAATCATTTGGCAAAGATACAACTCTCCCCACTATCACAGTGATATCATCTGGCTTACCACCTGCACAAAAATAGAAAGCAGGGGAAAAGAGTAAGAAATAAGAAATTCAATGAAATAATGCAAATGAACAGCTATAATTTAGAATGCGCAAAAACAAATAACCCAAAAAAAATCATGCCTGTTAGTTTCTTTCCAAGAATTTTCTTCCACAAGGGAACATCAAACCCCTGTGAAGGAAGATAATCATACCATAAACACATAAGAAAAATTGCATGCTTGCTGTTAACAGTAAACTTCAATCACAGACAAAATTCCTTTGGTCTTTTGTTTCGTTGTTTACACACTGGTGGCACTAAATAAAGCATGGCATATAGAAAGTTTATATTTTCGGGAGAAGGTTCTAGTAAATTTCTAACTAGTTGCTTTGTTTAAGAGGAAACAAGTGATGAAATATGATGTAACATACCCTACTCCTTGCTTCGATAATATAGGGTGAATCAAAGTCTGTATCGGTTGAATGACTGCTTGCTAGATCAGCTAATGCCTTGGCTGCAGAGAAAAAGTTCAAATTAGAGCGGAATACTCTTTATAAATTAGAGTGGAGCACAACTCTTTCAGTATTTATGAGGTGATGAAATATACCAGCTGGTGTCACATCGTCGATCCTGTAAATGATGGAAACAATTTCTTGATCAAATACATTATCAAAAAGTCCATCAGAACCCATAACAATAGTGTCTCCTTCTATTAACTCTAAGCTGCAGACCTGCATAAAGGGGGGAAAAGCATGCAACTGTTGGTGAAGCTAAATTTTGAATTTAGTTTCCTGGACAAAATCTCACTTGAAAGGTCAATATAGAAGCACTTTTTTATACATAAACTAAATATTATTTCCTGTAATTTATGGTTTCAGGTGATTATGAAGTTTGCTCTCGTATAGATTGGTCTAAAACATGTGTAATCAGGGCGACATAAGGTTTTTTTAAAAGCTGAAATTTATTATATTTGATAAGATTCTCTTAATCAGGAAGTAGATGGATCTGCTTGTGTTTTCATAAACAGGATAAATATTTGTCAAATAAACAGTCAGTATCTATAACCGCCCACGCAAAGATAAGAATAGTGACAAAAAGTTTTAAAAATCTGACTGATAAACTTGAAGCCCAGAAGTATGTACCATGGCATCACGATAAGTTTGGCCAATTATCTCAGAGCTTAGTTGGTAAGGACAGTCAAAATAGTGCTCTTGTGGTTGCGTAGAAAATATCACTTGGCCTGGTCAATTGGTAGAAGACAAAACTTTATATGCAAAATCCCTAGCTTCACTGTATCTTATTGACGTACAAAAATAGAAGAGTACCAATGCTCATAAAAGTACCATTTCTAAGCACTCGTAGCCCACAATCTCCAACACTCGCAATCTTCAGAGTTCCGTTCTTCTCCAGCATGGCAATAATACTGTGCAGATCAGATATATGTTCGGAAACATTCATAAGTATTAACATTCTTATACACAGCTCAGTAATGATTCTAATAGGAACATTCAGAAGGAAAGATCAGTAGCAACATATTGTAGCTGGCTTATGATACTGTAACAAAATTTACCATGTTACACGGGCTAAAGCTTAAATACGAGAATTGATAAAGAAACATGGCAGGTTTATGACGTCGTGGTCTTCCATAGCTCACAATCGCACAAAATATGCTATCTTGGACAGTTGTTGAAGTCAATTGTAGCTATTCCCATAAAAGCGCAGGAGCTTATTTGGTTAGACGAGATACACAAAAGGGTAACGGAGGTCACTGTTTTCAAGGCTTCAGGATTGCGAAAGGAAGGGATTTTCTCCTTAAAAAAGTAGAAGTGGTGGGCTTTCCGCTATGTTACCCGGTACTTCTATAATGAAGCCTTAGCCGTACCAGACACGTACCACGGTACCAGACACTTTCCCGTACCCAAACTTCATGGACACTTCTTGAATGTATGCGTGCATTTATTAAAATATGTACTCAATTATACAATGTACCCAATACTTCTATAATGAAGCCGTACCCGTACTGGACACTACCAGACACTTTCCCGTATCCAAACTTCATGGACACTTCTTGAATATATGCGTGCATTTGTTAAAAAATGAACTCAATTATACGACGTATGTGTTAATTTAAAACACTTGTGAAACACTTCTTGGACGTATAGCTTACACTTCACATCCGTTTCTTGAAAGTAGTTAGATATGGGTTGGGTTTGTTTCAATCCATACCCAAGTTCAAAACTATATAGTTAAAGGATCGTTTGGATGTCCAGTGAAAAAAATGAGTAGTTTCCAATTTATGATAATCAATATGATATAAGAAACTTAAGAATATGATCAGAATTTTAATTCTCATGACACATAAAGAGGAAAAAAATTGATCTCATGTACATTATTTTATATATATATATATATATATATATATATATATATATGAGAAATATGGAGAAACTTTGTACCAAGTTTCTCCATTGAACTTGGTAGTGAGGTATATATATATATATATATATATATCATACTCCCTTTAAAAGTACGAGTTCGGGAAAAACTTTCCATGATCAATATTACCCTTAACTTTTTTAAATATTATATTGTTATCCTAATCTATTTTAATTATCTTATATTCTTTGAATTAGTAACTAAATGATTTATCATATTCATAATGAGACTTAACATGTTATTGGATAAAGAAAATATGTTTGATATAATTCAAATCCTTTACGTATTTCAGTTCGCAGAGAAATCTTAAAATAGTTTTGAAATTCTCAGGGTGTTATTTGTAAATTTTAAATTTTAAGGTTTTGTTTGTAATTTTTAAAACTTTAAGGGTGTTTTCTACAAATTATAAATTATGTATGAGATATTTATAATTCCTATATTTTCAATGTACTATTAGGTTAGAAATTATCTGGATTTTTGTAAATTTTACAATTCTGAGGATTTTATTTTACAATTTGTAAAAAGTTCAGTGTTTATTGCAAATTCCATAAATTTTTGGGGGTTGTTTTGTGATATTTGTAGGTTTTTAGTGTGTTTATAGGTTTAAAATTTTTAAGGTGTTCTTTATAAATTTTGAATTTTTAGGGGTGTTTTTATAATTTTCAAAACTTAGAAGATATTTTCTCCAAAGTCAAGAAACTTTTATTTTTTGAGCTAGCCTATGTTTTTCAGATTTCTCACTGAATTGAAATAAGTAAAATTTATCATTTTTAATATGTTTTAATAAATATTTAAATTTGTAGGGGTGTTTTTGCAATTTAAAATACTTGGAGGATATTTTTTACAAAGTCCAAAAATTTTTAGGTGCTGGCTAACATATATTTTTTAGATTTTTCTAAACTGAAATAAATAAAGGATTTGAATTATATCAAACGTATTTTCTTTATCCAATAACATGTTAAGTCTCATTATGAATATGATAAATCTTTTAGTTACTAATTCAAAGATAGGATAATTAGAATAAACTAGGATAACAATGTAATATTTAAAAAAGTTAAGGGTAATATTGAACATGAAAAGATTTTTCCGAACTCGTAATTTTAAAAAGAGTATTATATATATATATATATATATATATTTTTGCCGTATCTCATACCCGTACCCGCGTACCCGCACCGGTACCCGTACCCATTTCCATGCAACTTAAGCTTTCCGAAATTTAAATTTGCGGGAGAGATCTGTAAATATTAAGTATAACTTACACAGTAGCTGATCCCATGGAGGAGGTTGCAGCATGAGCCTTTCTCAAGAGGATCTGCGGGTTGTAATCGACCTGTTAGCATAGCAGATCATTTCGACACAATAGAGTTAAACTAATATTCAACAATAAATTTCTGATAGACATAACAAGCTACATGAAAGACAACTATTTATAATTTTGCAGAGGACATGTATAATAATAACATCTCCAGCCTCTAATCAGTATAACAAAGCCAATCAAAGTACCTCCTCATCCGTAACAAGACCCGAAGCATTCGCCATCAACTCTTGAGAAAAAAGCGCAGGGTCGACATTCTTTTCAGCCCATCTGTCAACCATTAAAAAGGAAAGCTAGAAAGATAAAAACTTTTAGTTACTAGTAATCATCTGAAACAAAAACATCAAATGAAGAAAATTCTAAAAGAAAGTGCCTCACCCCGAAACACCGTCAGCAACAGCAAGAACTCCGCCATTGTACCCGCTTACGAAAAATGCATCTTCACCACCTTTATCAACCTTAGATTACAGAAAGTCAAAAATAAAAGTCACATGCATAATTTTGTGAAAAACAGTGAGACATGGTCACATATATAGATTACACGTCGAATTACCTTAGCCGGGTGTGGAATTAGATGAGTTCCAACAGAGAAAGACAATTCCGACCTACGTTCATGCCAACGTCATCCCATCAATCGTTCTTTTGTCATTTAATATTCCAGCATTTTTCAGTACAAGTATCGCATTATCAAATTAATCAACACCGGTAAGAAAAAACTATCTGCAGAAGTTTTATGAAATCTAATAGAATCAAATGATAGTTCAAGATTAGGAGACCTCCTCGCCTAGCGAAAGGAACACGACTAGCCGTATTATTTTGTGATTTAGCCCGATAGTAACTGGCCATCAGAGTTATTCAGCTGTAATTGCAACTAAAATCTTAAAAATTTGTAGCATCTTATTCGTTTCGAGCCCAAAAGAAACCAATTCGGAGAAAAAAACAAAAGAATTCTCCGACCAAACTTCAAACTTTTGCTCAGAAAATTAACTGTTAAAGCAAAATGTTTCAAATTCCTATAAAATTAACAGGACAGGTCGGCACTGAGCAGAGTTGGGCTTTACCTAATGCGAGCAGGCGCGGAGAAAAGTGGTCTCTTTTTAGATGGAAAGGCCAAAGATTTGAAGGGGGTCAAAGGAGAAGAAAGAAAAAATCGTTGAGAGAGCGGGGTTATGAGCTCTAGAGAGCTGCTGCCCACCATCTCTCTCGCTGGCTTCGCCTCTATCTGATCTCTCTCTCCGTTGAAGATTCTAGCTCTTAAAGCGGAGAAAAGGCCACGTCTAATAAAAATAATGTTAATATTGTTAATAACTATTCAGCTTAGTACGCAAGCACCAGTGGTCTAGTGGTAGAATAGTACCCTGCCACGGTACAGACCCGGGTTCGATTCCCGGCTGGTGCATCTTTTTTAGCCATTTTGTGTTTCATAATCCCATCGTTAAGGTTATTTTTATCATTTCAATTTTATTAACACATTTCCTATTACCTTCTCCCTCATATAGCACTTATGTACCTTATACTTTCACGCATCTCGTACTTATTAGTCCATCTTAGTTGAGATGCACCTCCACGTTGTTAAATATTATAATTATTTAAATTGATAAAAGTAAAAGAAAAAAAATAAAGTTTTTTTGGTATTGATTGTCAACTCAACAATCTCTCTCAAATGAAGTATTATTATTGTTTCCTTCAACCCAAACATTGGCCACGTGATCGACTATTTATGAGTTATAAATACATTAATCTAATACAACATCTATGTTTATTAGTATCTTGAAGTCTTCAAAAGATGGGTGATCATTCAATTCGTAAAGGGATTTTGCATATAAACTTACTTGCAATATGTCCATTAAACTTTTAGATATGGTTTCACTCATATTCACATTAACTTATTATTGTGGTTTTACTTATATTTACATTATCTAATGTTCTCATTCAATTTTATAGCTCATTCTTCGTATCATAGAAGTAAAATTAAAAGTATGAAGAATAATTTTTTCGTGAAATTAGCATAGGGAGAATATGATATATTTCGCAGTGTGCTCTAAATATAAAAAAATCTTTGATGCAATGTCTCTATCAAATCTTGCCCCAAACAATGTGAATGAGAAATGCTATTATAACTCACTTGTCTAGGGCAATTGTATTGTATATAGGACATATAACTCATCTAGAATATCCACATCTGTTTAGTGGATTTTGCTATTATGAGAGCAAAATGTTAGAGGCTCGTATTCATACTTTTTGGCTCTATAAAAGACGCAATAATTTAGAGTGCATAACTTATATATCGTAAAGAACACAACGGTTTATGAAGAATTTTCCCTAATAATGATATTATTACAATGATATTGCTATTCAGTATTAAATCAATTTTATTATATACGATTGTATGACCCTTTTTAATAAATTATAAAGTATATATATGGAAACATCGATGCTTATAGCTAGTAGTTGGACTCCACAAAATATGTTAACTTTACATTGCAGTTTTTTATTGGTAGTATTGTTGGCAATACCATTATCTTTCTTCTTTATATTATTATTCATGCTTTTCTAATGTAAGTTCTCTTTTGCTAATCACTCAATTGACTATATTTAATTTTTATAATATCAGAGTTAGAATATTCTCTTCTTTTTAAAAAGCGTTGATACAATTTTTTTAAAAAATATATATACATAGTAACAATAGTATACACTTCAGTTCAACTCAAACATTGGCTTGAAGCCATTTAGAATGAGGTTCTTTCTACGCTAGAATGGTGATATAGTGGTTACACAATCCAAAAGTCAAAAAAAAATTCTACAAAGAAAAAATAATTTAATATGTCAAATTAACAACTAATTTATAAAATATACATAGGCATTGCAGATAGCTATAGAAAGTAAGGTATATATCTTCATGAAAATTCTATAGTGACTGACCAACTACAATCATCCTAATTTATGCATAAATAATTATTATTTTAGTTACTAATTTGATACACGTAACTATAGAATAAATCTCAAGCAAAAAATAGGAATTGAGATTGTGTTATCATGTAGGTAAATAAATAAATGTCATTATAGCTCCTCTTTATATTAAATTTAAAAGTAATAATTTAAATTATTAAGCGTGAAATATTAGTTCATGTGAGAAAGTAAAGTAATCTATGGTCTATATACTTATATAGTCAATTAATCATACGTATTAAAATTATGATTACTACAGTCAAAATTATATGGCGGGTTCACAATAAAGACAATTTTTAAAAAATAGTACATTAAAGTTAAATTCCTTTTAACTACTATATAGATTGTCTAAAAAAATTTGCATATATAAACTATACTGCCTAAGAATAGTAGTGTGTATACTTAACTATGGCCTAATAATCTTAAGAATGACTTACTCTTCAATATCATCATTAATTGATGTATCTATACATTACATTGAAAACACGATAAAAATTTAGAAAACTACAAAAGAAACACCCTCAAAAGTTTTAAAAATTGTAAAAAACATGCTAAAATTTTGTAATTTACAAATAAACAACTATTAAACATTACATTTAAATCAAGGAATTAAAAAAATTTTAAACTTTGGCGGGGTAATTTGCAATTAAGGGTGTTTTTTTATAAATTTTAAATTTAATAGGTTTTTAATTAATTATGTTCTTTTCAGAAAAGTTATGAGTAATATTGATCATGAAAATTTTTTCCTAAACCTATACTTTTAAAGGGAGTATGATATTTTTTATAATTTTTTTATTTCTAGGGGTTGTTAGTAAATTTGTATGTTCATTTTAGTATCTATAGGTTAGAAATTCTCAAGATATTTTTTATAAATTATGAATTTTAGGGGTTTTTTATAATTTTTTAAACTTATAGGTCTTTTCTACAGACTGTAAATTATTTATAGACTATTTATAATTCCTATGTTTTCAATTTGCTAATGGGTTCAGGGTGTTTTTTCTAAAATTTGAATTTTGAGATTTTGTTTGTAATTTTTAAAACTTTAAGGGAACTTTATATAAATTATAAATTGTGTAGGGGATATTTATAATTCTTTTATTTTTTTAATGTACTATTAGGTTGGAAATTATTGGGATTTTTAAAATTTTTATAATTTTAAGTGTTTTATTTTGCAATTTGTAAAAAGTTCAGAGTGTTTATTATAAATTTCATAAATTTTTTGGGGTTGTTTGTGTTATTTGTCGGTTTTTAGTGTGTTTATAGGTCTGAAAGTTTTAATGTGGTTTTATAAATTTTGAATTTTTAGGAGTGCTTTTGTAATTTTTCTAAACTTACAATATATTTTCTCCAAAGTAAAAAAAACTTTTAGTTTCTAGCTAACATATGTTTTTCAAATTTCTCATTGAATTGAAATAAGTAAAATTTATAATTTTCAAGATGTTTTAATAAAATTTTAAATTTGGAGGGGTGTTTTTACAATTAAAAAAATTTAGAAGATATTTTTTGCAAAGTCCAAAAACTTTTAAGTGCTGGCTAGCATATGTGTTTATACGAATTGAAATAAATAAATGATTTGAATTATATCAAACGTATCTCATTTATCTAATAACACACGTTAAGTCTCATTATAAATAAGATAAATCGTTTAATTAACAATTCAAAGAAAATAGTATAATTAGAATAGATTAGAATAACAATGTAATATTCAAAAAAGTTAAGGGTAATATTGATAGTGGAAAGATTTTCCTAAACTCGTACTTTTAAAGGGAGTATGATATATTCTCTCTCTCTCTCTCTCTCTCTCTCTCTCTCTTCTTTTATTTTATTTTTGATTTTTGATTTGCATTTATATACCTTGAGTTATTTAAAATTGGCACATTGGTTCTCTTTATTATGTAAATATAGAAATTTTCACCTGAATGTTCCAATATGACATTGACATGCTATTTTATTTTAAGTGTCGTATGAGAACATTCATGTTAAATTTTTTCCGTAGTAGAGGGTACTAATACGTCAATTTAAACAACTTAGGAGGAAAATTTACTGGATTGATATATTTTGTTGATTTTATGTGGCAGATTATTATATTTTTTTACTCTGGCGACCATATGACATTTTTTATGGATCATGATGAAAAATACCCCTATTTTTTGGGCTGAGTCGAAATTTCGGCCAAATAGGATCATATGAGGCGTCATGTGCATCCAATGTGAATGGTAGTTGAGATCATTACAAAGAGTTGACAGGTTTGGTTTGAGAATTAGGGTTCAAAGTGAGGGTGTTCTTTTTCCTTCGGGATTAATTTGGCTAGGACAACAGAAATTGAAGTTGTGGGTTCTTCTTCCATCCAAGATTAATTTGGGTAGGACAATTGAAATTGGAGTTGGAACGTTTTTTTTTAACTTTAATTTGAGACCCACCCCTCTGCTCATCTTAATGATCCCAACTACCATCCACATTAGTAGCCAGGTCAGACTCACATGACCCCTCACACGAGTCTATTTGTTCGGAATTTTGGCTCCGATTAAAAAAAAAAGGGTATTCTATCGTCACGATCCATAACATATTTCACATCATCACCGGAGCTGGCAGATATTCCGATTCATAACATGACAACAAAATATACCAAGGTGGTAATTATACTCAACCTAGGAAATGTAAAGATCCAAAAAAGCGAATGAGGGTATATAACTGCAAAGTGAGTGAAATTATAAAGCGTTGAAGTGCTATTTAGCCTCTATAAATACGCAGCAACCTCTCATCCCCCTTTCAGCCGCCAGCAGTTTCCCTCTCTCCTCTCGGCTCTCAGCTCGCCGAAGGGAAGATGTCCGCTTTCGCTACCAGCAACCATATCCAAGGTAACAGTTTCTATCCGCAGATCGACCTCCTCGATCCCCAAATTCTCCTGTAAGTCCTCTAAACCCTCTCTCTCTCTCTCTCTCTCTCTCTCTCTCTCTCTCTCTCTCTCCAGAAAACTCCGCGACCGACACCGACTCCGATCCCGAATCCGACACCACCGACCTCGACGACTCCTACCACCCAATCTCCTTCGAATCCGATGCGGACGAACCCGAACCCGAAAACGCCGGCGATGAGACCCGGAACCCTAACCCTAATCTCAACTGTAACGGTAGAATAGAGGAGAATGAGGAAGTGGAGAGAGAAAGAGAGAGGGAAGCCTCAATCTTGAGAGCTTTTAGAGAGGATGAGGGCAGGAGGAACGCGCCGTTGACGCCGGAGAATGCTTCTAGGGTTATGGATGCGATGAGAGGCGTGAGGTTTAGTGGATCGGCGCCGGATTGGGTGGATCGAATGGGTGAAGATCGATGGGTAGATCGATTGAGGAGGTTGAGAGGGGAGGGTGTTGCTGGTGCTTCGCAGAACTGAAGAAGATGTTGAACTTGATTGGAGATTTTGTAAGTTTTTGTGAAGATTTGCGTATCGATCTTCACGATTTCGCTTTTTAATGTAAAGATTGGATCTTTTACACATTGTTCAATGTTTTATCTATGCATTGCCAAATATGTGAACTTCTATTGGTAATTGGATTCAAATTTGACCCTTTTAGAACATGCATACTGGTTTCTATATTGTTAAAGGAAGCAGAAGCTGGGATCCCTTAGCATGATCACCCTTAGGTTTCTCTTGTACTTTTCAAATGGGGCTGTGATTAGAAAGAGAGAGGCTTGAGTGGAGACGTGGGAATCCTTTTTAGAAGCATCTAATGTGGAAGAGGAAGAAGGGAAGCCGAGGACAGGAAAATGCCGCTCTTTGAGCCTGGTGTGTCCTCTCTTTGTCTATGCCCTTCTTTTTAATCTCTCGTTAGATCTTTGGATTTCCTTCCACGTTGACGGTTTCCATAAAATACACTTGATATGAGCCCCCTTTGGAAAACAACATTTTAAGGTCTACTTGTTTTGCTTAGAAGCTTTATTCTTAACTTGCACGGTTTCCGTAAAATAGGATTGATATGAGCCCCCTTTTGAAAAACAACATTTTAACGTCAACTTGTTTTGATTAGAAGCTTTATTCTTAACCTGCCTGTCTGCCTTATGAATTGACGGATAGAAGCTTTATTCTTAACTTGCATGTCTGCCTTATGAATTGACGGATGTTTTGTGGAGTTTGGATTCTCTCAGAACCGCCCGTATGCGAGCGGGTGGTTCTGAGATGCAAATGGGGAAAATTGGGGGCAATTTTGTACTTGTCCCTCCCCATTTGCAACTCACAGCCGCCCGCTCGCATGTGGGCAGTTCTGAGAGGACCCCTATTCTGTTTTGTGCTGATAAATGAGTTGAGGGGTGATAAATGCTAATGGAGATGGCATATATGGTATGGATGAGGGGGCTTATCTACATTTTACCCTCTTGAAAATCCATACTATTTTTTGTATTATATATCACGTTTCATTTGCACGTTCTCTTACAGTACTTCGCCTTGTTATTTGTGATTGGATAGCTTATTACTTGGACTTCTTTTTCATAAAAGCCTATTGGATTTTGTATAAAGATGGGAGCTTGCTATTACACTTCATCTCAGAAATGAGTCAAATGACTTCCTAGGATTCTTACTAGTGAGTTCTCAATGCTCGTGCATTGAGGATTCCTGTGCGCTGTTGTAGATTTTCTTTCGTCACTGCTGCATTATTAAACAAAATAGTGATGTTTGCATCTGTTCCAATTTCTCTTAACTTCCACTGATGGAACACATAACAGAAGAAGCTTAATAACTTAATAGGCCATGCTGTCATGGTATTGTGTTCTAATGTGCAATACTAGACGGGGTTTTGATGCTGCCATGGACCAACATCATAGGTTTCTCTTTTAAGTTTTTAAATGGGGCTGTGATTAGAAAGAGAGAGGCTTGAGTGGATACCTGTGAATCCTAGTAGAAGCATCTAATGTGGAAGAGGAAAAAGGGAGGTCAAAGGTAAGAGGAAAATGCTGCTCTTTAGGCCTGGCGTATCCTGTCTTCATCTATGCTTTCCTTTTTCATCTTTGCATTAGATGTTGGGATTTCCTTCCACGATGACGGTATCCATAAAATACACTTGATATGAGCCCCTTTTTTGAAGGAGAATGTTTTAAGGTCTACTTGTTTTAGTCATAAGCTATAATGTTAACTCGCTTTTTTTCCCATTTTCTTTTCCACCTTTTCTACTTTTAGTTATCTATTATGTCTTGAAACATACTTGCTAGGCATAACATGGCAAAATAACGGAATGGGAAGGACCAGTGCAAAAATTATGCATTTTGTTGTACACATCCGCCAGCTAATCATTTTATACATGTACATGTATACTGAAAGTATTTTTAATAAATGATAAAGAGCTTATATGTTGTCTATTTTGCTCATTTTAGATTAAATACACATTGCTGACTCTTTGTGAGCCATGGATTTGTGACCTGAATTTTTTTTGGGTGCAAGTTCTGTTGCCATCGTCTGGAAGCTCAAACATCAATTATATTACCTTAATCACATCTCCATCTATCTTCTTAAAGGGGTCATTTGAACAAAAAATACCTGCGACTTACTGTTCATAGGGGCATTGTTTACGTTATCTTTGAACGTAGAGTAAATCAACCCTTTAGAAATGTCACACTAAGTACGCAGGTCTTTATTTGTTGTTTTCATCAGCTTTCAGTTTTTACTCTTCTCAAATCTCTTTTAGTCGCTAAGGAAATAAGAGCATCTCCAACCCAAAAACCCAAAATGGTGTAGTTTTTACACCAAGTTGGTGTAGTTTTTACACCAAATCACTATTCCATCTCCAACCATTACACCAAATTTTACACCAAAAAGAATATTCATTTTATTTACAAACTATAAAATGAGATATAGTTGGAATATTTGATTTGTTATAACAAACTATAAGGGCAAACTTGGGAAAAACCAAAATCTCCATATCTACATTGCTGCACCAAATCTGGCGCAACACTGTAGCACCTCATCAAAATGGCACTGAATTTGCAGTCCGGTTGGAGGAAGATTTGGCGTAGTTTTTGCTCCATTTTGGGTTTTTAGAGTTGGGTTGGAGATGCTCTAAGGACAAGTTTATAGCTTTATCAAATTCATTTTCTTTTGTAGGACAAAGTTATTTTGGACGATAAGATCTTTCTTCCATTTTATCATGAAGTTGTGTCATGCTGGTTGGGCGTCAAATGATTAATTTCAAAATAGTTGAATGTTGTGTCTATTTTCATAAGTTGTTCATGCTTACAAATTGAAGTTGTTCATCCTAACATATTGTTCCAATTTATTTCAGGTACACTGTTGAAAAGAAAGGATTCTTTCGTCCAAAGCCAATTATCTGAGCAAGGCTTTGCTTCGTCTTGCTGTTTCTTTCTCATGCTCAAATGTTGTTGCCTTTTTTTTTAGACATTGATCAAATTAGGTATTTTTGTATCATGTGATTCTTATCATACATTAAAGGACACGTTAAAATCTTTAAAACAGGATCTATGAATCTCTATTTTCTGGTTGTTGTGTGGTAGTAGTGTATTGTGTTTTGAATCTTTCAGCTTGGTCTGTGACTCTGTGGTTTGATGGAGAGGGCTTGGCCTCTGCGTTGCAAATATTTCTTCCTTTTAGTATGGCCTCCTTGTGCTGCTGTTTTAGATCGAACTAATAGACTGATTACCGCAATGCATTTGATACAATTCGGCAAAGAGATAAATATGTCGAGCCTAACATCCTGAATGCATGAAGCATCCTGAGTGCATGAAACAGTTTCATACACCAATTACCACGTAGATAAATGGAAGACTTATGCCTCCATTTGAAGGGGGGGAAAACGCCTTCATCAGAACAAGGCAGAATTATGTCTGCTTGAAAATGAATCGCCTAGTCTTGTTGATTTGCGGTTTTCTTTCTTCTGTTCTTTTTTATTTTGATATCCTTGGTAAGGTGAATTTAACCAGTGAAATTTCAAGCTATTGTTTTCACCCGAGAAAAGATGGATGCAATTGGAAGAAGAACAAACAACAACAGTCTACCTTATAGCTCAAGCTCATTGCTGGAGAGGGAGAATGAAAAATGGGAACGACAGGAAGGGGTTTTTGTCTTTTAACTCAAAGTTTTAACTCCACTTATTTAAAAATTCACTCACTTTCATAAATACTCATACACCCAAAACACCTCAAGGGGTATAACTTTAGGTTAAAAGACAAAATCCCCCAGTGGCAAAAGCTTGGCAGCGCCCATTAGTGATCCACACAATAATAATGCGATCTCTACAGCTCACTTTTAGACAAATAACACAATAAAATACTACAAGAATATGTCAATATAATTAAACTACAACATTCACAAAGCTTCATAAAGCACACATTTGAATCAAATATTCAGTCCAATTGATTCAATGAGTCATCTGGCCACGAAGTTATATTTCCTTTTCAAGGATGATAAACTAGATACTTACAAATATACTGCAACACTGACATATAGAAAATGCACAAGCACCTAAAACTTTTCCACCACAATACCATTTCTAAGGACCTCGTAAGCATCTCTGCTCCTGGTTTTCTTCACACCGGTAGTGAAGTGAACTTTTGATCTTTCAGTTGAAACCGAAGTCACTTTTGCCCAAACCAGAACTTTGGTCTTTAATCCCTCAATATCAACAAGCTTTCCCTTCTCCAGATATCCAGTGACAGTAGTGGAGAACCTTAGGACAGAAGAATCCTTGTAACCAACTTCACATACAGACGGTATGAACACAGTGAATTTCTTTGTCTCTTCGTTGAATTCATAATTGGTAGCATCTCGAGGGAAGAGTCCTACTGGCAGATCGTATTCCTGTAATAGTTCAGGCAATGGTTTCTGCATTTTCCCTGGAAATCATTATATCAATTGGTAAGTTATTCACAATTAATGGTTGAAGTAAGGTAGGTAAGTGCTGTACATGCTTTAACTTGTTTGAGGAAAGATTTATGCCTTGTGCAGAACCTTTGAATAAGTTCTCTAAACAGGAGTGTGAATGAACAAAAAACTATTATTTCCAGTGGTCGGACTAAAAAATGTCTCATATTATTATATGATGCCAACACAGAGTAAAGTTCTACTTGTAGAAAGATGGCTACAAATAACAATGCATAGAGTTATCACACAAAGGGTTGTCAATGAGTACTACTAAATCCAAAAAAAGGAATGCCAATGTTGCAATACTACTTTCTAATTGTCCTAAAGAAAAGCTACAGACAGGCAATGGTTTTAGGTTTTACGGTGCGGTTTCAGATTATGGCTACATAATAAGTTGCACAAAAGAGCCATCCATGAGCCAGAATCTCACATATACAACTTGCTTGACATAGCAATTATCAGTTATTGTACAATTTACAATGTTCAATGGCAATCATATTTTTTCTGTTAACTATGTGTCTAATCTAAAGACACCCCCAAGCCAACACCCACACCCACACAAATGTCCAGATAACACAACAGCAGAAATGCTGGTATCAGAATCCTATTGTTTAACAGCTTTAGCCACCCCGTATAGTGAAAACTAGCATGGCTATTTTGTGGTCTATGACATGGAAACACCAAAGACTCACTGTAAAACCAAAGACTTGTATCTGTTAGAAATGAAGAAATTGATGTTTTGAAGTTCATTAGCTTATGACGCTTGCTGTCTAAAGAAAGCAGTATGTTCCTTACGTTTATACAGCACCAGTCACTTAAAAGAGAAGGAAATGAATCATCAACAACCTCATAAGCAATTATGGAAAAAGGAGTCCTTACTCTTACTACCAATACCTTTTTAAAAGTCAAAAACAGTAAGGATGATGAACTATCTTACAGCCATTCTTACGGTATTTTTTATGACATAAGCAAATGAAATCAGTGGTTCAGTATTTCTTCTCAGGTACCTACAATGTTTTCTATATTATTCCAATGATGCAGGTAGGATGGCGGTTTATTTATGATTGAACC